TAAAGGTCAAAGTAATCAAAAATATCCCTTGGCTTGTTGTGCTTGTTATTTCGGTTGTACTAGGGGACAAGGGGGGGACAATGTTTGTGGGATGTTGGGTGATGAAATATGGTTGTTTGGCTTGGTGTGTTTCGGCCCTAGCTTAGGGAAATGAAAAGGAAATTGACTTATGGTTTTTTCTTTTGGCACAAAACGTGTTATTTTGATGGAGTGATTCAAGTAGGGAGTGGGGTAGTCTGGGCAGGGTATACGGCTCTTTTTAGGATGGAGATAGGCTCAAGGTTGTCAGGGTTAAGTAATATGGTTTGGGGTTGGAGAATTCATTCCAGAAAGGATCGTAACACTTAGACATGATTCCACTGATTTGTTTAAGGATTTGAGGATCAGGTGTAGTACTAGGGGATATAACACAATCTCTACCTCTTCTTTTTTATTGAATTAAATATGCCTATGCTTTGCTCTGCACTTCTGCCATTCTTTTTATTATTTGTATTTTAGAAGCTTATATTTTTTACATGGACATTTATGTTTTAGATGTTTGGTAACGTATTTTTTTTAGATATCGAGAATGTAGGATCTTATGATCCGTGTTATGATTTTACGGTTTAGGATCTTTGATTCCTTACCTAATCCTACATAGGACCTCGAGTTTGACTACCTTGGTGATGACAAGATTGAGTTCCATTTTCGAATTCTTTATCTGAGATGAAGTTTTTGTATACTACCCTATCTTTTAGGTGTGCTTATGAATTCTATTTTTCTATTTGATAGAAATAAGGATTGGATACGAGTCACTCAACTCGGATTTGACAATCAGAGTGAGTCAAAACATGCTCTCGCAACTAGGCCAGACTACTTGGGCCAAAACCCACTAAAAGAACAAGCCAGTGATTCTAGTTCAACCAAATATCTTATTAGCCCATCATTCTTTTTCAAACTTTGTGATGTGGGACTCTGACGCTTTAATTCTTTCACGTATTAGATGTGTTATAAGCTCTTAAGGAATAAATTAGTATGCATACCTCTGATTGTTACATTTTCTGGAGTTCAGAGACTCGAAGCATGATGGATGTCATAACCGCAATCCTTCAGAGAGTTGGGGATGACATTGACAGGAATAAGCTTCCCCAGATTTTTGTATGTTCTAAAAACATTCTCGGTCACTTCTCGCATAGATTTGCTCCCAGCTCCCTCTTGCCCATAAAGATTTAAAATTTTAAAAACACAAAGGACTTCTTTGCATTGTTTACTAAGCCTACTATGGACCTATGGTTACAGTATGAAGATGAAGACCATGACAAAGTTATACTTGCATCAGATAGCGATCTTGCTGCTGCAGTTGAACATGCAAGGTCTGCGGGTTGGAAGGTCTCTCTTTCTTTATCCCTCTTTATATCTTTTTGTTATTGGCCTGTAAATGGTGGGGAAAAAAGCAGCCTTAAGCGCGCCATTGTATTTAGACGCTTAACATGCTAATTGCAATGTTAATTAATTGCAGGGGCTGAGATTGCACCTAGACTATTCAGAAACCCGGAGTTCTGGTTCTAGTAGTATAGGCTATGGTCTTGCAGATTCATGGACCTCGGCATACAATGCTGTGGCAGCTGGTGCGGCATTAGCTGCCGGATTAGGCCTATTTGCTTTCTTGAGAAGATCTGGCAACTGATTTCTTTTTTAAGAACTTTTCCATATATTGAGTGTGCAGTCAATTGAGTGACCCATGCAATATAATCTGCATACCTGAGGTATTTTCTATTTATTTGCCTGTAGTATGTAGCAGTGCAGTGGTTTCCACTCCCACCATAGCCACTTCCATATCTGCTTGGTCATTCATAATAAAGTTTGCCCTAATCCAACAAGGCAATAAACTCCCATGGTTTGAACTTCTTTTATGTAATGCTTTTTTGAAGGATCTTTTATGTTATGTTAACTCAAACAACTTTGATATAAAAAATCAAATCATTTGGTGATTCGTTTCACACCCCCATACATACACCTATAGACGCACGATCACATACAAATAAATACTTATATTGTGCCACATCTAAACTTTCAACTATTCTAAGGGTCTATTTCGTTAAACTTATTTTTTCAGCTTATTATTTATTCTTATTAAAATTAGATCAGAGCATACCAGAAATAACTTTAAAAATAATTATAATTAGATCAGATCTTGAAACAATAGGATGAAATTAGGCGAAAGACATTGCCCAAATTAGTACGCATTATTCCAAACCAAAAAAGCATTGAAAAAGGTGTAGCCAAGCAAAATAATGACTATGGAGTTACTCAAAAGAAAACATGCCAACCAATTGTAATTGATAGAGGCTTTAAAGGGGAGGGTATTGAAGAAACCAATTGAAGAAAAGTTATAGAAAATGGTTGAGGTCCCCTTTCACAAGAGGCGGAATATGCAAGCCTTGTCTAACGCAGGTCTAAAACAACAGCTCATAGATGGTTTTGAACGAAGCACACGAAGAGGCACTCAAAACATTCAAGCCACTCTTGATGGAAGTAGTCATTGGCTCATTGCTTTGTACTTTGTAGTTAGGCCATGTGTAGTGGGGGCATCACTTCCTCATTCACACTTGTTCACACTGAAAAGCGCCACTACTACGGGCGTTAAATTTTTAAAAACTCAGGCCCCCCT